TTATTTGAAAACATAAATAAGATTGACAGATCCCTGGCAAACCTGACTAAAATGAGGACAGAAAAAACCCAAATCAATAAAATCAGAAATGCAAAAGGGGAGTTAACAATAAACACCATGAAAAATTCAGGAAATCATCAGAGATACTTTGAGAACCTATATTTCAATAAATTTGAAAATCTTGAATAAATGGATAAATTTCTAGATACTTATGGCCACCCAAAATTGAACCAAGAGTATATTAATCACCTGAATAGATCTATAACACAAAATGAAATTGAAGCAGCAATAAAGAGTCTCCCAAAAAAGAAAAGTCCAGGACCTGATGGATTCTTGGCTAAATTCTATCAGACCTTTAAAGAACTAATACCAACCCTTCTTAAACTGTTCCATGAAATAGAAAGAGAAGGAACACTGCCTAACTCATTTTATGAAGCCAGTATTACACTCATCCCAAAACCAGACAAAGACACCTCCAAAAAGGAGAACTATAGGCCAATCTCCTTAATGAACATTGATGCTAAAAATCCTCAATAAAATAATGGCAAACTGAATCCAACAACATATCAGAAAGATCATTCACCATGACCAAGTCAGCTTCATCCGAGGGATGCAAGGGTGGTTCAACATATGCAAACCTACAAATGTAATATAGCACATTAATAGAAGCAAAGACAAAAACCACTTGATCATCTCAATAGATGGAGAAAACACCTTTGATAAGATCCAATAGCACTTCATGATAAAAGTGCTAAGAAAACTAGGAATAGAAGGAATGTACCTCAACATTGTAAAGGCTATATATGACAAACCTATAGCTAACATCATACTTAATGGAGAAAAACTGAAACATTTTCTCCTAAAATCAGGAATGAGACAAGGGTGCCCACTATCCCCACTCCTATTCACATAGTACTGGAATTCCTAGCCAGAGCAATTTGGCAAGAAGAAGAAATAAAAGGAATACAAATGGGTAAAGAAACTGTCAAAATATCCTATTTGCAGACAACATGATCCTATATCTTAAAGACCCAAAAAATTCTACCCCAAAATTCCTAGACACCATTAACAGCTAAAGCAAGTGGAAGGATACAAAATCATTAGCTTTTCTATACACCAATAATGAACAAATTGAGAAAGAATATATAGAAACAATTCCATTTACAATAGCCTCAAAAAAAAATCAAATACCTTTTGCTGTTTATTGGCTGGACCTGGGTGACCAGAGCTGTAAAAGATGAGGGGACTACTGAATCTTGCTCAATAGCCACTTTAATGAAGATCACTTTTGCTTTTTATAAATGCCTCTTTCACAGAGAGCATTTGGTCAGAAAAAGCATGCCAAGTATTACATGTCAAGGTTACGTTAGTACAAGGAAGCACAGTTAAAATTAACTCTTTGTTATGTTTCTTTTAAAATGGGAACAGAGAAGTAGGAGAAGCACACGGTCAGCATAACCTTCTTATTTACATCTGAAGGATATGAAACCATCTGGGGAATCTTGAGCACTGTTGTTTTTCTGGACGTCTGGTTCTGAGACCTTTGCCTCAGTTCCTTAGAGCTTTCTCACAAGGCCAGATGCCAAATCACACAGGCACGGTCCCAGTGCTTGCTCCAACAAATACCTAGGAGTAAACTTAACAAAGGATGTGAATGACCTCTACAAGGTGAACTATAAATCCCTGAAGAAAGAGATCAAGGAAGACCACAGAAGGTGGAATGATCTCCCATGCTCATGGATTGGTAGAATCAACATAGTAAAAATGGCTATACTACCAAAAGCAATCTACCTGTTTAATGCAATTCCCATCACAATCCCAGTGACATTCATCACAGAGATTGAAAAATCTACCCTAAAGTTCATTTGGAAATACAAGACATCACGAATAGCCAAGGCAATACTCAGCAAAAAGAGCAATGCTGGAGGTATCACAATACCTGACTTCAAACTATATTACAAAGAAATAGCAATAAAAACAGCATGGGACTGGCACAAAAACACACATGAAGACCAGTGGAACAGAACAGGGGACCTGGATATGAATCCACATAGCTGTGCCCACTTTATTTTTGACAAAGGCTCCAAAGACATACGATGGAGAAAAGACACCCTTTCCAACAAATGTTGCTGTGAAAAGTGGTTATCTGCCTACAAAAAACTGAAACTAGATCTATGTTTATCACCCTGTACTAGTATCAACTTAAAATGGATCAAGGACCTTAATATCACACCCGAAACTCTGAAGTTAGTACTGGAAAGAGCAGGGAATATGCTGGAAGCAATAGGTACAAGCAAGGACTTCCTCAACAGAATCCCAGTAGCTCAGCAACTAAGAGAAAGGATGGACAAATGGGACTACATAAAATTAAAAAGCTTCTGCACAACAAAAGAAATGGTCTCTAAACTGAAGAGACCACCCACAGAGTGGGAGAAAATATTTGCCAGCTACACATCAAAGGACTGATAACCAGAATATACAGGGAGCTCAAAAAACTAAACTCTCCCCAAATCAATGAACCAATAAAGAACTGGGCAAGTGAACTAAACAGAACTTTTCAAAAGAAGAAATTCAAATGGCCAAAAGACACATGAAAAAATGCTCACCGTCTCTGGCCATAAAGAAAATGCAAATCAAAACCACACTAAATTTCCACTTCACCCATTAGAATAGCTATCATCAAAAACACCACCAACAGGTGTTGGCAAGATGTGGGGAAAAAGGAACCCTTGTACACTGCTGGTGGGAATGCAAGCTAGTACAACCACTCTGAAAAAAAAAATCTAAACATAGATCTGCCATATGATCCAGCAATTCCACTCCTAGGGAAATACCCAAAGGAATGCAACTCAGGTTACTCCAGAGGCACCTGCACACCTATGTTTATTGCAGCGCTATTCACAATAGCCAAATTATGGAAACAGCCAGGATGCTGCACTACTGATGAATGGATTAAGAAAATGTGGTATTTATACACAATGGAATTTTACTCAGCCATGAAGAGAATGAAATCTTATTACTCGCAAGTTAATGGATGGAACTGGAGAACATCATTCTGAGCTCTCAGAAGACCAAAAATCATATGTTCTCCCTCATATGCGGTCTTTAGATCTAGGGCAAAGGCAGCAATGTTGTTGGACTTGCGTCACACGCTAAGGGGAGAGCACATACAGGAGGAATGGGGAAAGGTAGGAAACCCAAAACTTGTGGTTTGATGTCCCCACTGCAGAGGAGGTAATACAGTAAACTTAAAGTGACAGAGGTCAATATGGGAAGGTGACCGGGAAGTAGTGAAGAGGTCAGGAAGAGATGAATCAATTCAGATTGTAATACACATGTGCATGGAAGCAATGCTAGGAATCTCTCTGTATAGCTATCCTTATCTCAACTAGCAAAAGCGCTATGTCTTTCTTATTATTGCTTATGTCTACTCTTCAACAAAATTGGAGAAAAGGGCAGAACAGGTTCTGCCTGGAAGCGAGGGGTGTGGGGGGAGATGGAGGGGGTGGGGGTGGGGGGGAGAAATGGCCCAAACAATGTATGCACATTTGAATAAATGAATAAAGAAAAAAAATTTAAAAAAGAGTGGATGGTGGAAAGTAGTGAAGGCTGTTAGAAGTTCAGACTTTATTCTGCAGATGACCAGGGCAACCTCCCCTGTGTTTTTCAACAGGTGTCAGGGGCCCAGCAGTAATACTTCTCCATGGATCAGACAGACAGGAATAGTGGAAAGTCAGGAGACTAAAAAGGCTATTGGCAGAGTGCAGATGAGCCACTAAATCAGCACTGTCCAAAAAGAATGTTATGGGAATCAATGTGTAATTTTTTATTTTTTGAGGTACTAGGGTTCTAATTCATGTTTGCTAGGCACAAGCTCTACCACTCGAACCATGCCCCCAGAACTTTTTTGCTTTAGGCATTTTTTCAGATGGGGCATCTCACTTTTGTCAGGGGACAGGTTCAGTGTGCAATGCTACTTATACCTTCTGCTTAGATGGGATTACAGACATGACTCATCATGACCGGCTTGTTAGTTGAGATGGGGGGGTCTTGATAACTTTTTGCTTCTGAGGTACTTCTTGATCTCTGCTTCCCAAGTAGCTGGGATTATAAACATGAGTCACCAAGTCTGGCTCCCAATTTGTAATTTTAAATGCTCTAGTAGACATATTTTAAAAAGTAAAAAGAGGACTGGTAGAGGGTTTATATGTGAGGTCCTGAGTTAAAACCCCAGTCTTGAGAAATAAGTAAAAAGAGGTGAAATTAATTTTAATAACATAGTTCATCTAATCTATGTGAAGTATTTCAACATGTAAAAAATATTAAAAATTACTAATAAGGGCTGGTGGTGTGGCTTATCACTTGCTGTAAGCCTGAGGCCCTTAGTTTGATCCTAATTAATGCGATATTTTATCTTATAAATCTTGGTTGTCTGGTATGTGATTTACATATATAGTACATATTATTTTTGAGTGTTTAAAGGCAAATGTGTATAAAAATATTGTGCTTAACAGGAAAACACTGAAAAATACTTCAACTTTTAAGATAACGGAATGAAAATTAGGTACAATTAAAGTTAAGTTGCATTTCAAGTGCTCAGTAGCCACAGAAGGCTCATGGCCACAAGTAAAGCTCCTGGGCAGTTCTGGGCGTGTCCACCAGGTGGCACTAAGAGCGCCATCACCAGAGGCCCACCCGGAAGCGAAACCACGCCTTTATCAGGTCCCTCCGGCTTTGTCCTCCCCCGGAAACGGAACCACTGCCCTCGGGCGTGCGGCGGGGGGGTGGGGTGGGATGGACCGGAAGCCAGAACCGCCAGGTGTACGCTGCAAGTGAAGAGCGCGCGGCGCCCCAGCGGAGGGTGCGCGGGGGCGCGTTTGTCCCTGGGCCTCGGCTTACACGTGTTGCCCGGCGTCCCCGCGCCCTCCCCTGGAGTCGCCAGGCCCGGGGCTCGCGCCCAGCGGGACACACTGAGTCCCGAGCTCACGGGGCCTCCTCACCAATGATTCAGAAGGCGCACCCGGCGCTGCTGCCTCCTCAAGATGTCGGGGACACGGTGGAAACGCTCATGGTGAGGAGCTGCAGAAGGGAAGGCAGGGCTTGGCGACCGCGGGCTCGCGGAGAGAGCTCGGGTCCCCATTCCTCCAGTGGCTGGGCGACGCGTCGGGTTATCCCGGCGAGCTATAGGTGCTCCTCCGAGTGATGGGAAGGGCTCCGGCCATCGCACGACCGGCGAGAACAGGGACAACTGCCGGTCGGCAAGGGGACACCTGGGCACTGCCTACCGGCCGGCTGCTACTAGAGAATTCGCCCGCTCGCGACGCCACGCCCCTGCGCTCCGCTCTGCCTGCGCTGTCGGGTGCCGGGTCGCCATTGGTGGGGCGGGGGCGGGGCCGCTCGCCCAGTCCTTGATGGACATTGGCGGAGGCGGGGGCGGGGCCGCTGCCCAGTCCTTGATGGACACTGGCGGGGGCGGGGCCGCTCGCCCAGTCCTTGATGGACATTGGCGGAGGCGGGGCGCGGCCCCGTGCTGGGGCAGGCCTTGGGCCCGGCGGCCGCAGCTTTCTTCCCGAGGTCTACCTGGTAACCTTTTTCTCCTTCTGACCCTACAACTTTCGCCTTCGGATACGAATTGGATTTAGAATAAAAATTATAAGTTTTTATTTTCTTGGATATAGGTTTTTTTAAAGGGAAACAGGAATTGTTTGTGGGACCATTTCGCAAACTAACTGCTACTCGTTCCCTTTGTGTTTGTTTTCTGTTTTTGCCCTTCCCCTCTCACCCCTAGAAATTTAAGTTATACATCTCTTGAATAACCTTGAATAACTTGGAGTTTCTTTCTAAAAATTAAGCCCGTTTTGAAGAGCTGGAGTTGGAGCCCAGTAGTTAGAGCGCCTGCATCACAATACGCTGGATTAGCCAACAGCGCTGCCAAAAAAAAAAAAAGGGGGGGGAGGTTGTAAATGATGTGCTACCCACCATTGACAAAGTCTTAAGTCCGTTCGATTACCTACTTTTTTACTTTTGTTTCCCCTATTGGATTTTATTTTATTATTTTTGTTTTTTTTTACTAGTTTATATATAGCTTCTGCTGTGTGTTAATAGACCTGGGAATTCACAGAATTTAAAAAGTTATGGGCTCTACTCGTTTATCAGCAAATGTTAATTGGGCCAGTAATATGTCCAATCACTGTTGTACTGCTGTGAAAATAGACATTAAAAAATTTCTGCAGTCAGAGTTGTGGCAGTGAAGGACAGCAGCCTTCAAATAAATTAGGTGCAATAACTTATGGGAGCATTGAAAAGCAGCACCTAGGAGAATTGCTCCGAAGGTAACTATAACCATGCTGGACCAAAGGGTCTGAAGGAGCTGGGGGTGGTTTAACATGTCCTGGGATGAAAGGGTCAGCTTTTGCAGCTTTGCAGTCCATTCTGTGAAGACAATTCACCAATAAAAGCTAGTACTGCCAATGAGCAAATGTCAGCTTCTGTACTGAGCTTCTGTGACCCATGATTCTTGTTTTAAAACAACTTTAAAAGCTTCCCCTGCAGTAACCTTAGATATGCCTGTGAGCCTTTACAGCACATATATCTCAGATTCGCAAATCACGTTCTCATTCCTGAATAAACTCCTTATTCTTCAGTCTCTCTGCTATTTAGGTTGACAGTGGCAGACAAGAAAGACTGAGAGATCAGTCTACAGTCATGGTCAGGAAGCAGCAGACAGAGTGAGCCTTACAAGTCTCCTGGGTATCCACACTGATGACTGGTGTGTCCCAGTGAGGATTATAAAAGAGACAAATGTGTGGAGAACTGTTGACCAAGTTTCCATTTCGGACCTGTTGAGTTTGAAGTGCCTGGGGGCAAGCCACTGAGGGAAGGAGGAGGCACTGGAATAGCTTCTGGGATAGCGGAAGTGTCAGGAGGTGTGGGCAAGACCCACATCTGTGTGAAGACATGGGTGTGGGTGAGGCTTCCCTGAGAGGGCTGCAGACAGGGGAGATAAGAGGAACAGCAGCATATGAGAGCAGACCGAGGAAACGGAGACCTGGAAGGGTAGCCAGAAAGGAGGAGGAGAGAAACCAAAGCTGCGAGAGAGGTAGTCATCTTTATCAAATGCCCTGAGAGTCCAAGTAAGAAAAAGAGGCAGGAAGGTGGGCCTTGTAGGCAGGTCCTTGGTGAGTCCTCAGAGCCGCTTTAATGGAGGAGATGTAGCTGGATGGCAAGCTGGGGGGCTGAGTGAGTGGCAAAGAGAGAGTGGAGATGGTGTAGCATCAGGTGGAAAGATAAGGCTTTGGAGCATAGCCAAGGCAGATGAGAGATGGCCAAGGAAGGGAGAAGCCCAAAGCTGGGTTTGTTCATTCTGCAAAGTCTGGTGAGGCTGAGAAGCACAGCACTCGTGGGAACACTGGTTAGTAGAAAAGCCAGCATCTCTGGGGGAGAGGGAGTTGGCTGCTGATATAGTTCAGGACAGTTTCAGCAGGATACTACTTGTTTTTGCCTATTGTCTTATCAAAGCACTGACTGATAGTTTAGGCCTTTTGGAAGTTCTAAGCCCAGTGATTTAATTATATGAACTGATTTAGTCCTCCACAAGTCTGGTAAGTACTTCTAGTTATAAAGCTCATTTGATGGGATTTGGGTTGATGTCTCATCTCTGAAACAAGGACACAAATTACAGACATCTTAGTTCCTGATGAGTAATTATTCAATATGTGTAATTACAGTTTTAGACCTACAGTATATCATTTATTAAAAAAAATAAAAATAATAGATAAATGAGGAAAGAGGTCTTGTCAGGTGTAATTTGCCGAGTGTCTTGTTTGGAGAAGGGGGCTTTTTAAAGGTGCCTTTTCATCATCATTTGTGATTCTAGGGTCCTGGAAAAATGACATTGCTGTCATAGTGGCACCAGTGCTGAGAGCTGAGGCTCTCAGGATGTGCTTGAGGAAGATAAATTAGTTCTATACTGCAGTATGGTACCCATAGATAAGCCAGTGTGTGTGACAGTGCAAGGACTGAAGGAGAGGCAAGAAACCCAGGAGTGGCTACTACTGGTTTGCAGAGCCATTTATGGTCTGCTTAGGTCCCAGTGAGATGGGAGGTATCGGAGCAGGGGAAGTTTTAAACAAAGGAAACTCATAGATTTCACCAGAAGTGGCACTCCTCTTATGCATTTTAGGTGAGCTTAAGGTGCATTGTTTCTGTAAATACCTACAGATCCTACAGCCAAAAGAGCCTGGAAACTAAATTTAGAGTGAAAACACCATGCTCAATTGATTTTGCTTTTCCAGACATAAAGAAATGATCAGTAACTTTTCAAGTCAGAATAGGGAAGTACATTCAGTGGCATGGAAATAGACATGTTGCTCAGTGGTTTCTAAATGCTTAGCAGTAAATACTAAGACCAGAGAGACACATCTTGCAGTGCACAATGTCCTCAACAATATTCCAGTGTTGTTAATTTCTGGCTACACTTTCTCTTTTTCTGAGATAAGAAAATATGAGGCACCAACAGGTGAGTGACTGGTCCAGGTTGGGGGAAAGGTGTGTGTGTGGCTTGCTAGACAGAACTGCTGACACAATGTTCTCTTGTTCTGCAGTTACATCCAGTGATCAAGGCTTTCCTGTGTGGCTCTATCAGTGGAACCTGCTCTACCCTCCTTTTCCAGCCTCTGGATCTCCTTAAAACACGTCTGCAGACTCTCCGACCCTCAAACCAGGGGTAGGACCTGCTCCAGCATTTCATGGAGGAACTGGGTTCAGCACTTCTCAGACACAGGAGCATATTTAGCAGTTAAATCAACTTCCGTTGTTTCAGATACTCAAAGGGAAGCATAAGCCATACCTAACTTCCTTGTTTTTTTTTTTTTTTTTTTCTTATTTGAGATAGGGTTTTACTGTGTAGCCCAGGCTGGTCTTGAACTCACAATCCTCCTGTCTTAGCCTCCTGAGTGTTGGGCTATGTGTTTTGTTTCTCTGTGGAAAGGGAGAGAAAAAAATATGTGTGTGTGTGTACTGATGTTTCTTGTTAATTAAATGAGACGCTTTCCTGAGCAGCTCCATAGATCTGCCTTGGTGATAGTTCGTATTTTATTGTGCTAGCTTATGATGCTGGTTACTGGGTGGTTTTCTGGAAATAATGTCTGTTTTAAATGGCTGTTTTGTGCCCTCATATGGAGCTCAGCACTATGGGAAGTATCAAAGTGTACGTAAAATAGGAGGTTGTGCATTGCTTGAGTGTAGTAGACGGATAAACGTACCAAACTATTGAGTACATGGGAAGCCAAGTGTAATTCTAAGATTCATTGTAGATTCCTCTGTTTTTAGAAGAGAGTATATTCAAAGTAGTCTGGTGACTTCTTTTATGAGGAAGTGGTCTCAGTGATTTTTTTTTCCTTCCCTGTCTCTATTTTGTCTGCCTTCAGGTCCAGACGCATTGGGATGTTGGCTGTACTCTTAAAGGTGGTTCGCACAGAGAGTCTTTTGGGCCTTTGGAGAGGAATGTCCCCTGTAAGCAAGCTACCTTCTGGGTCAGGGTTCTCTTGCAGCACTCTCCTTTCATAACCAGTTATTTCTCTTTCATCTCACTAACTCCTAAGAATACAAAAGAAGTGGAAGTGGCAGGGGTACAGTAGTCCCCCTTATCCACAGTGTCACATTCCATGGTTTAAGTTTCTTGTAGTCAGTCCTAGCCCAAAAATACTAAATGGAAAAGTCCAGAGGTAACCAATTCATAAATTTTAAATTGTTCCCTGAGTAGTGCAATGAAATCCTGTGCTGTCCTGCTCTATCCATCCTGGGAGGTGAATCATCCCTTTGTCCAGCATGTCCATGCTATGTGCACCCCTTGCCCATTACTGTGCCTAGTTTATAAATGAGGCTTTATCATAGTACGTATGTGCAGTAAAGGAAAAAGCATATTGAGCATAGGGTTTGGTATTGTCTGCTCTATCAGGCAGGCGTCCACTGGGGATCTTTGAACCTACCCTCCACAGATAAGAGGGGACCTCTATACTTCCTGCTTATCTCTTAGACTGTCATTGATTCCCATTTGAGGGGTCAGGGAAAAAAATCACATGCTAGGTATGATTTGTTAGTGTGGCACAGTTTCTACAGCAGGAAAAGCTGACCTCATGCCTGTCAGTGTATCAGTGCCCTTACTACTTCAGTGAAAGCAGGCTGGACCTCTACACCTATATTTCATAGCTCAAAGGCCTTTCCTGGCCCTAAGGACTCCCTCTGTTGAAAGAACCAAAGCATTAATGCTAACCTCCGATGCATAGCAGTCCTATACCACTGAAAACTGGGAGTTGATGCTTAAATTTTACTTCCCTCCCCACTCAGGCAGAGGGGTGACTGAGCTGTGCTGTACACTGATTCCCAGAGTTCTGCAGAGGGATCAGTTGCCCATAGCTTCTGTAACCGCTTCTGTAATATACCCTTTGTTAGCTGTCTTATTGTCTGTCTCTCTTTGCTCCCTGCTGGTGTCGTCTCCATATCTTAAGTTAAGCTGCTTGCATGCAAATCATCTTGGGATGTTTAGGGAAGACCCAGCTAAGACTATCTTACAGTACTGGGTCTTCGCTTTTATTGTTCCTCTCTCTGGATTTTTCTGCAGTCCATTGTGAGATGCGTCCCTGGTGTTGGAATCTACTTTGGCACCCTCTACTCTTCAAAGCAGTATTTCTTGCGAGGCCATCCCCCAACTGCCCTGGAGTCTGTCATTTTGGGCATGGGCTCTCGCTCTGTTGCAGGGATCTGCATGTCACCTATTACAGTGATTAAGACCCGTTATGAGGTAAGTCTGACTGCTTTAGAACTCCAGGATGGGACACAGAGCCTCTAGGTTCTTGGGTAGTGACCACTTGTGTCAACCCCTGATTTATTTCTAACTTAGAGTCGGATGTGGTCAAGTAGGCCAAACCATGTGTGAACTGGAACCCTTGGTGCGTTGGTGATGGCTGTGTAACCTGAAGTTGGCTTGAGTCACATTCAAATGCAGAGCCTCTGTGTCAGACTGTGCTCCCTTTGCAGAGTGGGAAATACGGCTATGAGAGCATCTACGCAGCCCTGAAGAGCATCTATCGCAGCGAAGGGCACCGAGGCCTCTTCAGTGGCCTGACAGCAACTCTCCTTCGTGATGCGCCTTTTTCAGGAATCTACCTTATGTTTTACAGCCAAACCAAAAACATAGTGCTCCATGGTGCAGGTAAAGGAAAGTGTGGTGGGGAAGAGGTGTCTCTGAGACATTGGGATCTTGCCATTTTCCCTGGGATATTCCTGGTAGTCTTGGAAACTGAGCCATACCAGGGTTGTGTCCAGTTCTGGGCTGTGCTAGGATACAGAGGTCTAGTAGATATAACAGACTTGTTCCCTACCCTCTGGAGTTTGTATCTTCTTCAGGCAGAATCTTTACAGTACTACAATTTGGGAATGGGGTACACTGGGTGAGGAGTAAAGTGTGTTTTGCAGAGGTCATGCACTAATGCATCCCAAACTTGATCTTAAGAATTCTGTACCCCCATCCAAGGCCTAGATCAGAAGTTTTGGGGTATAACCCAAGACCCTGTATTTTTCAAGAAGCATTTGGTATGAGTCCCATCAGATAAATTTGGGAAACACTGGTGTATTAGGAATTTGAGGACAAATATTATTTTTACCTCCCTTCCTGTGTTCCCAGTTACTGTTTTGAGCCCTCTGTTAGGGAGGAGATGAAAGTGCCAAACCTCAGGCATTCTTCAGGCCCGCCCCACCAGTAAGCTTGTATTGACCAAGACATAGGTAAAATCTATGGGCAGTAAACACCCACCAAAGCAGAATGCAGAGCAAGGTGTTGGTACACACCCATTCTGTATAATGAGCCTGTGTTCAATAAAGTGTCTAGATAATTAGGGAAGCTTGGAATGCCCACCATCCTGACTGGTGGTCACATGAAGCTGAAGTGCTTTGGGAGGTTTGCTTCTTCCACCAGCCACTAGGAGGTGTGACCCTGCAGGTCAAAGGTTTACTTTGTAATAAGCAATAAGGAAGCACTGAAGTGATTTTTTTTTTGTTTGTTTTTTGGGGTGCTAAGGATACTAAACTACATCCCCAGCCCCTGGAAGTGCATTCTCAATCCACCTTAAATTTTTTATTTGGGCTGAGCACCAGCAGCTCATACCTGTTTTCCTACTTGGGAGGCTGAGATTGGAAGAATTGAGATTTGAGGCTACCCCAGGCAAATAGTTCACAAGACTCCATCTCCAAAACAACCAAAGCAAAGTAGATTAGAGGTATGGCTCAAGTAGAAGAGCACCTGCTTTTTAAGCACAAAACTCTTGAGTTCAAACCCCAGTCCCACCAAAAAGAATTACTTGGTATTTGGAAAGAATTTTAAACTTTGGAAGAAACCATAAGAATAATAGGGTATAAAGGGTATAGGACATGCCTATAACCCTAGCACTTGAGAAGCAGAGGCAGAAGGCTCATGAGTTCAAGGCCATTCTGGGCTACATAGTGACTCAAAACAACCAAAAAGGAAAAAAAATAATAACAATACAATATATGTCATTTTTCCTGAACTGTTTGAGAGTAAATTGCAGACCTTTTTACCCTTAAACACCTCAATGTTGATTTCCCAGGAATGAGGATATTCTCTTATAGAACCATCAAATTGAATTCAGGAAGCTTAACATAGATAGAATTGTTTAACCTATAGTTCATATTCTAATTTTTATAATTGTCCCAGTAATACACCTTGTAGCAATTTTATTTATTTCCAAGAGCATAGACCAGTGGTCATACCTGAAGTTGGGTTTATCTGATGCATTTTGGAAATTAGGCAAGTGAACTACATATGTGATTGTTAGGTCGACGCTGATGGGAAGGCCAAATTGAAGCCAAATAACAAAGCAAGCAGGCTTTAAGCAGGCTTTATTGAGAGCGTGCTCTCGGGCGAGGTTCACCGTCCCCAAAGAGCAGGGCCGGAGAAGTCGCGCTGGAGAAATGGCAGCCCAGTTTTTATATCCTGGGTGAAGTCAAGAGCTTAAGGTATTATGGGGCATCGGGATAGGTCGAGGTTTGGTGGGGAGGAGCTCGGGGGTCAGGACCCATTGCCTGCCAGCAGGAGTTGCCATGGTAATCATGAAGGGAAGGAGGGGATGGAGTGGAAAGTGAGCAGAGAGTCCCTGATCACCATGGGGTGGCTGCCCACTGGCCAAACAGTGATGCTGCATTTCTAGCAGGAAACTCATGACATTGTGTTTGACCTGCTGTGGACAACTTTTTATCGTTTGGATAAGACATTGTCTACTAGGTATCACTCCTGAAAACCCAGTTCATTTTCCTTTTGTAGTTTCTAAGTGTCTTTGTGGAAAGATAACTTTGAATCCTGTTTCTTTCACCCATCTGCTTTAGCATGGTTTAGTGAGTCATGGATGTAAAAGGTGCTTTTCTAATCCCATCATTCCATTTGCACTTACTAGTTGCACCTGGAAAATTGTAATTCTTAACCTGTTTCAGTGCAGTGTTTTTGACTTTTTGGAAGAATGAACAGGCCACTGCATTGACCTTTATCTGATGGATGTGAGATTTATGACTATGTTACCTGTGTTCTGTTTCAGATCAGTTGGACGCAGCCTTTATTCCTGTTGTGAATTTCAGTTGTGGGGTATTTGCTGGTATTCTGGCCTCCTTGGTAACTCAACCTGCAGATGTTATCAAAACTCATATGCAGCTCTCCCCAGTGAAGTTCCAGTGGATTGGCCAAGCAGTAACACTCATTTTCAAAGTAAGACTGTAGACTATGTATTGATTCTTGTTGTGGTTAAGAGTCTCTCTCTAGAGCAGTGCTTGTCATCTTTCACCCATATTAGAATCATCTGGGGAGCTTTAAAAAATCTCCACTTCCAGGTCAAAATCTAGGTCAACTATATTAGAATGGGTGGAGCATCCCATTATCAATAGTTCTTTGTTTTGTTTTATTTTGAGGGTTTGGAGGTGTAGTTCATGTGTATAGCATGTGTGAGGCCCTGGGTTCAGTCCCTAGCACCAAACTGTTTTTTAAAGGTTCCTAGTGATTCCAGTGTGTGTCACCAAGGTTGAAACCCACAAAAACCTATGTTTTTTGAGGGGAGGGGCACCTACATTAGAATCATCTATGCATCAATCAATACGCACACTGTGTGACTTTACCCCAGACTTGCTGAATCAGGATGTGTAGGCAGTTCTAGTTCTGTAATCAAGGACTGAGAACAAAACAGTCAGAAAAAAGTATATTGTTTTGTTTTAGCAGTTTGCTGTAATACAGATGGACAAATGAAATTGCTATTTATCCTAGATTATGAGAAGGGAGGAAGAGGTGTTTTGCCTTTAATTTTTACAAAAATAGGCCACCCAGAGCATATACCGAATTAGAAAAAAGTGCTTCCTTCTGGTACACAAATGGCAAGAAGGCATCTTTTTCTCATCCTGGATCCAGGATCCAGGACTTGGCTAACAAACCTTTGTCTGTATTTCATCTGTTACTTGAGGCTCAATGATTCTGCACAGTGTACAGACTATACAACTGGCTAGGCAGAGTATCACAGTCCTAGTAGCAAAGTTAGGATTACTCTAGGACTTTGAAGGCTGAGGCAGAATGATGGGTGCATAGCAAGACCCTGTCTCAAAAAAAACAAAAGCAGACAGATAAAATCCAAAGCAACTATAAGCATACATAGCAGCCCTGCATAAAGACTTTTAGCTAAGGGTGCTGAGGGCATAGATCAGTGGTAGAGAGCATCTTTGGGTCTGGGTTCCATCCCTAGCATCTGGGGGTAGGCAGGGGAGGTTTTTTAAAAGAAATTCCTTTAGCTAGAGCAGACCTAAAATGGTAGAGCCTAGTAGTTACGGAAAAAAAAAAAAAAAGCTTTATTTGAGTTTATTGGCATACAGCTTAGAAACTAAAACTCGAAAAAATGAGGAAACAGAGCTCTCTGGTTCCAGCTGGATAATTAGTAGTATTGCTACATGACTTCTGGAGTTCTGACATTTATTTTCATCATAGAACTATGGGCTACGTGGCTTCTTCCAAGGTGGCGTCCCCCGGGCCCTCCGCAGAACTCTGATGGCAGCAATGGCATGGGCAGTCTATGAAGAGATGATGGCCAAGATGGGCCTCAAGTCCTGACAAGACAGGACTTGGAAAGGGGAGATTTTTGTCTTTCATGGTTCCTGCCAAGGGCTGCTGCATCCCACTATCCTGGAGTCAGATGAAGTCCTGCCTGGAAAGCCAGGAGGAAATATCTTTGCCTTCAGTTCCCCATTCAGGGAGAGAACAGAAGACTGGCTGAAGCCTTCAGATTTCCAAGAAGTGTAGTCATTGATATACACAGCATACTGGGGAGCTGTCAAAGTGGCTTGTATGTCCCACAGAATTACTTGAAAGGCATTTCTGTAGAGACCTCTGCCTGGTAGCTTTGCTTCAACCATCCACCTACACCACAGGGACTCCTTGAATATGTTCTTGGGAAAGGGATCACAATCCAGAGAAGCTGTAGGCCTCCTGCTATGTCTGAGGAGCTCCAGCTGGGGAGCAGGCTGAGGACTTACGTGTGAGGTGATGCCACGAGGATGAAGAACAGACATTATGTAATTCCTTCTTGATCAACTTCTCAGAGGCTCTGGAAAATGGGGACAGTGACTTCCTAGCCTCAAAAGAAAATGTTATGGTCTGGGGCACTGTGCTGTTTCAACTTTAAATTGTTCTGGCATTTTTCCACAATTAAAAGTTCAGACGAATAAAGTGAAGCATTTTATCATTGAATGCTGTTCGAAAATGTCTTTATTATTCTGTTTGAAAATAACAAAAATAATTCTAGGTTGCCTGGCTCTGGTCCTGTAGGTCTCTGAAACTTATTTAAAAAAAAAAAAAACTTAATTTTTTTTTAAATGTATTATACAATTCATCTATTTTAAGTATACAATTCAGTGATTTTTGGTAACTTTCCTGAATGGTACAGCAATCAACATAAATCAGTTTTATAGGATTTTCACCCTTAGTAATACCTTTCATGTCCATTCATAATTAATCCTCAGTTCCCAGGTCTAGCCTGCCATCCATCTACTTTCTGCTATAACTGTCCTTTCTGGACACTTCACAAAATGGAATCATACAATATGTAGTCTGTTTTTGAAGTACATTCATGATTCATGGTCAATATTTTGCTCTTTTTTTACATAGCCAAGTATTTTATTATATGCATGTAGAGTTGTCCTTTGGTATCTGTGGAGCATTGGTTCCAGGACCTCCAATGGATGGCAAAATCAGGATGCTTTCCCTTACATAAAATGCCATATTATTTGCATATAACCTACACAATTTTCCTATATACTTCATTTCTAGATTACTTATAATACCTGATACAGTATAAACACTATGTAAGTAGTTGATTAGCAGTATTGTTTAAGGAATAATGACAGAAAAAGTCTATACATGTTCAGTACACATGCAGGTTTTTGTTTTTTTGGTATTTTCAATTCATGGTTGGTTGAATCCATACATGTGGAACCCAAGGATATGGACAAGTAACTTACATTTTATTTATACATTCAGAAATTGATGAATGTTTGGGTTTCCACTTTGAAGCTATTAACAATGTTGTCAAAGTCACGGCCAGCGGCAGTGTGTGGCGGTCCGTTTTTCCACACCCCTTCAACAATTGTTGCTGTCTGATAACCTTTCTGGAGGGTACCCATGCGTCTTGATAAAGAACCATGACTTTATCTGAGGAGAAGGCAGGAGGAAGGAATGTGGTCTGGGCTCTGATCCAAGAAGCTTAAGAGTGAAAGCTTAGTCTTCACTTAAGACATGATACTGAAATTGTGCCATAGAAATACTATGTCCTACCTCCTAGGGTGGTAGTGAGGGTTAAGTGAGTAAATGTTGTAGAACATTGTCCTCATTTCATAGGGCTGCCCCAACAGATTAGCTACAAACTAATGGTGTATAACAATAGAAACTGTTCTGGAGGCCAGAAATCTGAACTCAGTGGGTCAGCAGGATCGTCTTGATGAAAGCTCTAGAGGAGAGTTGTTCATCTGTTCACCTCTGGTAGTTACTGGCAATTCTCAGCTTGTAGATGCATCACTGCCTCCATCCTCACAATGCCTTGTCTCCAGTGTGTGTGTGTATCCAAATTTTTCTCTAAGGACTCCAGTCATTAGACTAGGTCTCACTCTCACCTTGGATGACCTTATCTTTATGCAAACAGCCTGTTTCTCAGTAAAGTCACATTCACATGTACTACAAATTAGGATTCATTCTAACATGTCTTGGGGCAGGGGAGAGGAACTCCACTCATAATACACACTAAACTTAATGATTTATAACTTTGCAGTTTTAAGTCTGCTTTTTGGTTTTAGGTTACAATTGAGGTTTTAACCTAAATTTGAGTAGGGATGTGGGAAAGGATAAAACAGGATCCACTCTCAAAGGCATCCAAGCCACCAGTTCCATGACCTACATGTTGTGAACCCTTGTGCTGAGGGAAGCACTCAGGATTAGAAGTATCGATGGAAAGGTAGGTTGGATGGAAGTGCCTGCCTTCTAAAATCTTAGTCTCTGGGCAGGATGTTCTATGTCCTTTCCCAAAGTCTATTCAGTCTCAACCTTCATCTTGAGCCAAGGATCCTAATGCCAGTGAGACCCCTTGGAGAGGAGTGGGCAGAGATAAGCCCCAAAGTGTGGGCTTCCACATGCTGATCTGCCTGCCTTATACTTGGCTGGTGAATTTTAGTGACAAATCCCCTTAGGAGCTCTTCATTTGATTTTGTTTGGGGGGTGGAGTTTGCAATAAAGCATAAAATTAGGTGTAATAGTCTTAATTTTCTCTAAACATAAGGTAAGACTGACATTTGCCTTTCTGAACTCTAGTTCTAGCAGTAAGTAGCCCTAAAACATCCCAGGTCCCAAGGACAACTTAGTTTTCCCCCCTCAGTCCCATAGTATTAAAGCACAGAAATGCGTGGCTAGTGAGCTTGTCAGCTAGCTTTGGAAACACTGTCCATTGATCCCTATTGTTTTGTTTACATTTTAAAATAATTGTGTTCCTCATGTTAGAAATATCTGTAAGATATAGGGGTGTCACGAGATAGAGGCAACGCAGTTCAGAAGTCAACAGGCAAGGCAAAATTTACTTCTGCAGAAGGGTTCACCACAGACAAATAGCAAGCACACTCAGCATCTGCTGGGGTTTTATCTCTAATGCAATGCTGCCCCTCCCCTGAATTGGGCAGGTTTTGGGTTCAGTCTAAATGGTTGGCTAATTGTAAAGAGGACATCAGGAGGGGGCTTTGAAGACAAAGAAGTTTAAAAGCTCAGGGAATCAATAACTGTTGTAGGTTATCAGCTCCTTAACCAGAACATGTAAGCAGAATTTTGTCCAGCTGAGGATAAAAACCCTTTGTTCTTAGTAGAAGCTGTTACCACGTTAAGCAGAGTCCATGAAGCGAGCATATGGAAAGAGAGTTAGTGAGACTAACATTTGTTAACAGTGGTGGTTACTGATTAAAATCCTTTGACAGGAAAGACCCAACCTAAGTTGATTCTCACACTCAGAAACTTTCAAAAGTACTAAAATATGGTGGTAGAAATAACTCATACATCAGTGGTTCACAGCTTGGCTGGGAGCTATTACATTCTTGGTTTGGGGTTGGATGAAAAAGCTTTCCAAGTAATTCTAAAGTGCAGCAAAGGTTGAGACCTATCATAAAATTACTAACAATCTGACTATTTACAGCCACTTTTCAATACAGAGGGCTATTTTTAAATTAACTTGTATTTGTCATACAAAGGGATTTCATTATGTTTCCGTATGTGCACACAGTATACTCCATCTCTGTTGGTCCTCTTCTCCCCATCCTTGGAAAAAACCCAACAGGTTTCATTGTTCTATTTCACATATGTGTATAGGATACTTCCATGATAGTCCCACCCCTCTCCCCTTTTGCTTTTCCCTCTCCTGCTGTTCCCACCCCAAACAGTACCTGTTTTACATTCCTAATTCATAGGGTTTTGATTTTTCTTCAAAATCATCCTTATCCTGCAATTCTTTTGTATCATAGAACTTATTTACTTCTTACTGTCCAAAATAATGGAGTTTCATTACTATATAATGAGTTTCATTATACACTGGATGCACAGTATTGGACAGTATCTTAAATTAACCCATTAATGGATATTGCTTTTTTTGTTTGTTTTCGGAGGTACTGAGGTTTGAGCTCATGGCCTTGTGCTCGCTAGGCTGGTGATGTACCACTGGAGCCAGGCTTCCAGCCTGCAATCTTTTTTAATCAGAAAGAATTCTCATGTATACCACCCGTGCAGTCTTGTCCTTTTTATTTACTTATTTTTTTGGAAAACGTTCCATGAATGAACATTTCAAATCTGAGTTAGGTGCCGCTAATTCGTTCCCCCAAAGCATCACTCCCAGTTTCCTTCACTGACAAAGCACAGCTTGTGCTCAACGAACCTCCTCCGTGACCAGTGAGGCAGACGTAGCTCAGGTGAGGAGTCTGCTCAGTTTCACGGGTACCGGCGGCAACATTAGGACTCTGGGACCGACTGGCCAGTCTCCCCTCACGCTCTCATAGAAACCACAGCAAGAAGGCGCAGGCCACGAAGTGCCGAGCGGCAGGGAAAACTCCCTAAGCCCACGTGCCGCTCCAACCCAGACGCTACCCGACCCGCGAGTCTGCGCCTGCGCCACAAACCCGCCCTCCGGAAAGGGAAGCCGCCCGCCAGCACCTGGGCAGCGCGCCTGTCTCGCAACGCGCCTGCGCGGCTCCGCCCTGCTTCCGCTCGGCTTTCTTCGCCATTGGCTGGCAATAGCGTATATAAAAACGTCATTTCCGGCCGCCTGTCTTTTCCGCGCTGCTCAAAGAGGGGTCCATACGGCGTTGTTCTTGGTGAGTTTCCTTTGGGGTTCCCAGCGCCTCCAAACGCCACCAGGACGCGCTTCTTGCCCAGATGAGGGGTGAGAACACTCGGTTAGAGCGGTGGGGGCCGGCTTTTCACGTCGGCTCGGCGCTCTCCGCCTCTCGTCGGCGGCCCGCATCTGGCCGGGCCCGGCCCGGGAGCGGGCCGAAGTCGCGCTTCAGTCCAGGCTCGGGGCTGTTGGAGCCGGGATGCGGGTGGGCGGGGATCCCTGTGCCTCAACACCTGATGAAGCAGTCGCTGCTGTGTATAATACAGTAGATGTAGGGTATTTTACCCCGACAGAAGCATGATACAGTACTGCCCTGCATCTGTTATACTAGATGCACTGAGAAGTACTTTTACTTGTCCAACAAGCTGTGCGAAGGGTGATATGACACAGCTTTGTAAAGAATTGCACTTTGGTAGTATTTCATTGGGGGCACAGTTCTAAGTAGTCACTTTCTTTATGAGCATCAGCTCTTAAAAAGCCCACAGTCACTGGATTTATACAAGGATGGCCAAATGGAGGCAGGCAAGACTCAACTACAGTATTTTTTAATCATATCCGTCGGTGAGAGCCCACGGAAGAAAGGAGATGCCTGTTAGAGCTTCTGAGCTTCAGACCACAAAGCAGGGCATCATTTCAAACAAATGAGGTAGCCAAACGTTTATAGTTAAGGTTCTTGGCAAGGTTTTGGAAAAATGGATGTGACAGCACAGAGAAGTAATTCTGAAACAGCTAGTTACAATCTTCTGGAAATACCTGGTGCTTAGTGAGTTTTCTTATCCTCGAAAAGACTGCTCAGCTCACATCTAGTTGTAACCTTTGCTCATCTGTAACTTTTCCCTTGAAGTGTTGAATTTTGCTACTTTAGCCTGTTATGTTACTGTTTACCCACTTTCTGAAGATTTGCTGCAGTTTAATGCATGGGTAGATGTTAACCTACTGTCTTTTAACTACCTTGTAAGCCCAGTGCTGAATGTAAACCTCTTGTTGCTTTTGAATTTGGGAGGAGTGGAATGCACCCTTCCCTACCTTCACCCACTGGAATGAAAATAACTGGGTTGTTAATATTTTCTAAGATTCCTGTCGTAACTTAAAGGGAAGCTAACACAATGTCCGGAGCCCTTGATGTCCTGCAAATGAAGGAGGAGGATGTCCTCAAATTCCTTGCAGCAGGAACCCACTTAGGTGGCACCAACCTTGATTTCCAGATGGAACAGTACATCTACAAAAGGAAAAGTGATGGTCAGTTACTGCTTTAATTTTTTGTTATTTAAGCTATAAGGACGTCTATCCTGATAAATAATAGTGGTTTCAGTGTTGGGAGGAAAGCTTTCTGGGCCCTGAAAGAAGAGCATGGCAACTGCTAGATTGTGGGCCTGGCTTAGGGCATGAAGAAGTAGTGAGATGTGAAGATGAGTTCTTAATTTGTTTCCTGTAGCATATCCTTAATAGGTACTGATACAGGTTTATTGAACTGTCTTCTAAGAAGAAAGTAAGGCAAGAAGAGGTGAGAATAAATGGTTTGGAAGGATTATGAGGGTGCAAGGTTGTGGGAAGACAGTTGAAGTCCTTAAACTGACCGAGGCACTTCAGATTAGAGATAGAGCTTAAAACTAGAAGATTTAAGCCTGGGAGTGGCATGCTGTGAGGGGTTGCCAGATAAATAAATCTGGCATTAATGCAGATGATGGAGAAGATTGGCAAAATGGCAGAAAGCAGGTAAGAATTTCCAGTAGCCCAGGGGGCTTGATGGAGAGAGTACAGGAGAAAAGATGGACTTGGCCAAGGCTGCACACTATTAAAGCTCAGGGTGGAGGCCAGTGTTGGCCAGTGAACTTCTGAGTGTCGGAAGTGTGCTACATAACGGCAGGATTTTCGCTAACACCAGTAGAGCTTGCCTCTGTGACTGGAGTTTGATAGTACTTGCTGCCACATACACATTACAAAAGAATGCCAGTTTGCAGAGTCAAGTCAGGTGTACCTGCTCAGTGGTGGTGTGTGTGCTTAGCATACACAAGGCCCTGGGTTTGGTCCCTAGTATCCTACCCATCCCAGAATTCATTTGCTCTCACCTAGGTATCTACATCATAAATCTGAAGAGGACCTGGGAGAAGCTTCTGCTGGCAGCTCGAGCCATTGTTGCCATTGAAAACCCTGCTGATGTCAGTGTTATATCCTCCAGGAATACTGGCCAGGTTTGTAGAACAGTGTGGGGGTGAAGCTTATAGACATTTGAGGGTGTATAGAGAAATAGGAAATGTTAACTACAAGTATTTCAGAAAAATTTTCTTACTCAAGTCTCACCAGGTTTTTAAGGATCTTGAAAAAGTACACTTTTAAAAAAATTTAAAAATAGGGACTGACCCTTTCTGTTTATGGGTATACATAAAAGTGGTTTTTGTAAGTGGTTATTCCTTAGAGGTCCACTTATGACTGGACATCTTATGGTGTCGTGCATGATATGATAGAAAAGGGGAAGTTTTAATTATTGTTGTAGAATAAAAAGTGATTACCCTGTATTTGGGATATAGCAGAGAGGTCTTCCTTTCTGAAGAGATGCCACCTCTGGAAAAGAGAAAGTAAGAAAGAGTAAAGAAAGGTGTGTGGTTACTTTGCATTGGTAACTGATGGAGGCCAAAGATTGCTGGGTAGATGCCAGGGACTTTTCTACTCAGTGTTTTCATATCTTATAAGCCCTCGAGGAACTTAAAGGTACAAGAGTGACTTGCACATGTACTTGAACCAAACAGTGTGGTTCTAGAGCCTCCAAAAGTGAAGCAGGTGCAAGGAGAGCATTTCAAGTGGAGGTTATAGATGTACAGGCATGCATGCACTTTTCAGTTAACCTAAAGGAATTGTTGGATTCCTTAAGTGTCTGATAATTTGCATTTTTGAGGAAAGGGAATGTGATTTGTAGGCTCCATCATAAAGCTACAGAAGTGGGTGTCAGCATCAAGTATTCTGTGAAACCATCCCTGGATGGTATTAACAGTAATACACTAACTGTTAATTTGGTTTCTTAAAGCGGGCAGTACTGAAGTTTGCCGCTGCCACTGGAGCCACCCCAATTGCTGGCCGTTTCACTCCAGGAACCTTCACTAACCAAATCCAGGCGGCCTTCCGTGAGCCACGTCTTCTGGTGGTGACTGATCCCAGGGCTGATCATCAGCCTCTCACAGAGGCATCTTACGTCAACTTGCCTACCATTGCTCTGTGTAACACAGATTCTCCTCTGCGCTATGTGGACATTGCCATCCCATGCAACAACAAGGTAATAACTTTATGATCTAGAGTTTGAGAAAAAGAACCCGATGTTCCTGTGCACATTGTTAGAGCTTGGAGTTGAGGTCACCGCTGGCCGATGAACTCCCAAGTGTAGGTAGTGTGCTACATGAGTGGCAAGCTTTTCGCTAACACTCCATTCTGGCCCAGTGAATGGAGCTTGATAGTAACCCTTGCTACAAGTATGATCGTAACTTTGAAAGGTGCCTTTCTCCACATTTCTTGGTCTACTTAGTTCTCTCGCACTATTTGGCCTTTTATGACTACAGAGACACATTTTTTTAAATCATGTGGTTTTCAGGAATCTTACAGTTGTATGGGTTGGAGACCTGGCAGTAGTGTTTGTTCTGAGCCCCATAATTCTGATGTATATTCAAGGTTGAGAACCCCTTAATGTTGTTAGAAACACTTCAAGAGACATTGGATTTCTGGGTGAGGTGAATTGTGAGGTGCTTGCTGTTTGGGGCTGGGCAGGTGTCAGTTACTTTGGTAATCTGGTACTCTTGCAGGGAGCTCACTCGGTGGGTCTGATGTGGTGGATGCTGGCCCGGGAAGTTCTGCGCATGCGTGGAACTATCTCCCGTGAACATCCATGGGAGGTCATGCCTGATCTGTACTTCTACAGAGATCCTGAAGAGGTAAGCGTCCTCAAAAGCTTGTGGTCACATAAGCAAATGGGACACCTTGGTCTGTGCTTTGCAGAAACCTTTTTCACTTTTTTAATAACCAGATTGAGAAGGAAGAACAGGCTGCCGCTGAAAAGGCTGTGACTAAGGAGGAATTTCAGGGTGAATGGACTGCACCAGCTCCTGAGTTCACTGCTACCCAGCCTGAGGTCGCAGACTGGTCAGAAGGTGTGCAAGTGCCTTCTGTGCCTATCCAGCAATTCCCTACTGGTATGTATGGCTTTGAATTTTTATTTTACTCTAGCTTCAAATTTCTGTGGAAATCATACTAGTGTTAGATGTTTTTGTCCCAGTGAAGCCTTCAAATACCTGTTGTACCCGAAAGCATGCAGTGTGTATCTGATAGATCGCTTTGGGGTTGGGGTGAGGGAAACAGTACTCTTGTCTTCAGAGCTGATGACTCTTCTGGTTCATTAACAGAAGACTGGAGTGCCCAACCAGCCACTGAAGACTGGTCTGCAGCTCCCACTGCTCAGGCCACTGAGTGGGTGGGGACAACCACTGAATGGTCTTAAGTTGTTCATCTGCCATCCCTTCAGCAAAATGGGAAAAAGTTGATGGAAAATAAAACATCAGTTTCTAAAAGTTGTTTCTTTCAGATTTTTTTATTCCAAATCAAAATGTGTGTGATTGCTTTGTCTCTTGACTCCAGTTTTACTCATAAAGGACACTGCTTTTCATTTGGGAGTTTCCTGAACTTCCTGTTTGAGGAAATCTGAATTCTGGGTATAGATTTAAATGGTTGTGTGGATGTAGATGATAACACCATAACCTCAGGGATTTTTTTTCCCAAGGTCCTGATAATGACTTTCATTACCATTTGTGTATGTAAGCACTGGAGATCCCAGATTGGCCTATAGCCCAGCTGTTTACCAGTTGTGTGGCCAGTGGGTGATTTCTGGCTCCTACAGACCTGCCCCAGGCAAAGCTGGGGTATGGTCTTACTCCTGGAATCTCTATTCAAATATGCTCTCCACATTGCATTTGTATACTTTGCTTTTTTAAACTGATGGCTCCCTTTGAAACTGATTTCACAGTAATGTGTTCACTGCTTAGGAGCAGACACAGAATGGAAAAATTGTATGGATTGGATCCAGGTTTGGATGGTATGTACAGTTTCAGGAAATGTGACCACATTCACAGGGCCCCTTCCCATGGCAGTGAGCTGTCCTTAGTGATGGTCAAGCATCTGGCTCTGCAGGAGCAAAACTGAGTGAGTCACTGCTGGTAGTATCTCATGTGAAGAGCACTCTGGAACTTCAAGGCTGCTGTGCTGTGACTGGTCAGCACTTAGTTGAGATTCCTCTATCCCAGTGTCCTGCCCAGTTTGCAGGTCTGGCTGTATCCCTGCAGACCCTGCTCTGACTTCTGCCCATATACCCAATTACTGCTTATCTGGAGTCATATCTAATCCTTGAGAATTAGATCCTGTTCCCCATGTCACCAACTGCTGACAGATTCTAGTTCAACCCAGGACTGGGTCATCTTTCTCAGATTCCACAACTGTCCTATGGCTGCAGAGCCAAGGCCCTCAAACTGATCTTGAAAATTTTTGAGACAAGGTCTGTAGCCCAGGCTGTCCTCAAACTTGGAATCCTGCCTCAACCATCTGAGTTCTGGAATTGCAGGCATATGCCTCTACACCTGGCCTTTGAATAACCATCTTAAACTTGCCAATTCAAACCCAGTTCTCTTACAGAGCCACCTGTTTGTGAGGTCACAAGCCCTGCTGGATGAAAGCAACAGTCTGCTGCAGGGCATGAGGTCAACAGCTTTGATCTGTAGAGTCTGGGCCTCTCCCTATCATGAAGTCATTGCTGAGTTAGGCAGAAACTTGTCCCTTATCCTCACTCCCTGGCACTACACTTGACACCCAAATGTAACACCTCATTTCCCCATCACCTCTCCTTGACCACACAGGTGCAGGTTTGCCCAGAAATTCTTAATTCCTTTATTTGGCCTGATCTTGGAAAACCAGCTAGCCGTGAACGACTTGTTCCCATCACAGCTTGCAGCTCTGGATATACTTGGGAGTTTATCTTCTATGTTAACAGAAGTTGGATCCCACACAGAACTACTTTTACTTCTCTTCCCCTGCTTTCCTAAGGACCTGAATTTCACAAGACTAGGCAATTAAGTTTTCTAATTCATCCCCATACAAGGGCAGATGTGACCATTCCCATTAAATCCATCTACCACAAACCTGGCACTTGGTAGGTCATAGTATTTTTGAATAAATAAGATGATTAGGAGTAAGTCTGACTTAGCCTTTAAGAAAATGTTGGAGACATTCTATTTGCAAGCCAAAGGCTTTCCACAGGATTTGGGGTGCCTTCTCACTTTTGCACATGGCTCTAGGGCTGCTGGGACTCACAGGGTGCTTTGAGATCTTATTGCTGCACTCCCAAGGTCAACCCAGGTGTGGTCTGGTCAGTGAATGGGTAGGACCTGTCAGGTGGTCCATGGAGGGATATGGCCATTGAGGTAGGGAAGAGTATGGGCTTTGGAATGGGACACATCTGGGATGGAGAAAACTCTGAATGGTCCATGACTGGGTGAGTGACCATGTCTCTAGGCCCAAGTGACATCACTATCGAATGGGGATGATAACAGGGTTGATGCCATTCAGTGAGATGGTCATGCACAGCAGTTAGCAGGGTCTGGGCATGTAGCAAATGCTCATCCTACGAATCACATCATCCTCCGTTAGTATTTAAAGATAATTTTTATTATAAAATATATCATACAGATGATTACAAAAGACATCCATACATTCTCGGGGAGTAAGAATCAAGTTCCTGGGAGCTGGTGGCTTATACTTGTAATCATAGCTACTCTGGAGGCAGAGATTAGGAGGATCACAGTTGGAGGCCAGCCTGGGCAAATTGGAGAGACCCCATCTAGAAAATACCCAACACAAAAGAGGGCTGGTGGACTCAAGTGGTAGAGCATCTGCCTAGCAAATGTAAGGCCTGAATTCAAATCTCAGTACTATTAAAAAAAAAAAGTTAAAACCTCTGTAACCAGGACACATGCAGGTTATGAAATTGAAAGGTGTCGGGACCACCAGTAAAGCCTCCATGTGCCCCTTTCTCTGCTCTTCTTCAAGGCCGCAGAGCTCCTTGGCTTTCTTTACCACCTAAGTATAACCCTTGCAATCATAAGCTACTGGGTTTCCTGTTTGATTTTGAGCTTCCAATAAATAAAATCAACATCACAACATGCTTAATGTGCTTTTTCCCCTCACTGTTTATCTCTGTGCTGTTCAACAAGGTAGCCATGCTCTGTAGAATCACCCATGACAGCAGTGTACTGCAAAGGCCATTTGGGTTCTTGGTTTAGCACCAACAGGGCCACTTTGAACATTTTTGATAATCATTGTGCAAGTTTTCCTCTCTGTTTTAAACTCGCTATACCAGATTAATATCCAATGGTTTCACAGTCAAATAGAAAATCCCATGGAAACACACCCTTAGCACTTCCACTGAAAACACCCTCTTTTCTTCAAGGCTCACCACTGCTGCCTCTCAGAAATCCAGAGGCTTCAGAGGCTGCTGCTGGTCTCTCTCATCTTCTGCCTGCTCTGTGAGTCTATCCCTGGGCCAATGCCACACTGGTCTGTTTGCTAGACCTCCATAATCTAATGCAGCACTGGGTAGAACAATCATTTGCATTGTCTTATTCCAGGGCTGGAGAGGGCATGGCTCAAGCAGTAGAGCACCTACCTAGCAGACTTGAAGCCCTGAGTTCAAATCCAAGTACTGCCCCCCCCCAAAAAATTCCAGTTGGTTAGTCCAGTTCTACTATAAAACCTTTTGCAGTTGCATTGATTCTGTAAGTTAGAGTAATATCGACTGGTTTACAATATTGAGTTTTCAATTCATAAGCAGTCTGTAATCTATTCCATTTTTTCATTTTTATGTCTCTCAGTAAAATTCTGTAGTTTTTTTTTCTGTAGAGATTTTCCATATCCTTTGGTAAATTTACAGGTAATGGAGACATATTAAATTGTACTCTTTTCACTACTATTAGCGATCTGGTTGGGAACAGCTAGATGTCTAGATGACATAGACATCTAGCCAGACATGCTGGCACACTCCTGTACATCCTACACTAGAGACACTGGGGTAGGATTGCAAGTTCGAGGCCAGCCAAGGGTACATAGCAAGATCCTGCTCCTCTCTCCCCCCGCCCCCGCCATCTAGTGGTAAATGTTACTGTCTATATGTAATAGACAGGCTGACTTATCCTGACACATCCAGACCTTTTCTTCAAGGCAGAAATGGGGTTGCTCACCTCCATCCCTGGAAACACTGCTCCAAACCTACTTGCAAAACATCCTGTTTATTTGATAGGTGATAAGCTCTGCAGGCTTCACTTTGGAATAATCCCAGAATGACCTAATTTTATTTTTTCAAAGGATCTCAAGTAAAATAAGATTCTACATTCAACAAATATTTATTAAGCACTTACTCTGGACCAAGCATTATTCTAAGCATTGGGAATGGAACAGGGAATAGACCAGGCCTGTGGCACCTCATGGCACTCGCATTTTGATTGGAGAACCAGATAACAGGTAAGCCATTTGCTCATGGGAAGAGAAGTGAGTATAATGGGAATGTAAAGAAAGCTTTTGTGTAAAGCAAGAATCACAGGCATTGGGCTACAGGAAAGGGAGAGAAATGGAATCATTGGAGAGAATCAAGTGAGATAAAGAAACTTCCTCAGAGAGGAGTCTTAGCCCAGCCTCACCAAGTGAAGTCTCATGGGAACTGGAGCCTTATACCAGATGCCATGGAGTCTCTTGGAGCCCACCCTGGGCTGGATGTGGGGGAGACTGGACAGGGCCCCACTGCCAATCCATAGGAAACTCATCTAAGTGCTCTCTTTTCTCCTTTAGGTAACTCTGAAAATGAGAATAAGGAAAAGACAACCCACACAGACATCTACCCTATTTCTGCCTTTTGCTGCAGAAAAGACAAAGGCTTAAGGAACATTCGCCTCTCTTCATGGATGACTGACTCAGTTCCTGCTGGTGCACACAGCTCCCAACATGGCCAAAGTGTCCATCATTGTGTCCCCAATGGAAGGCTCTCCACCACCTCCTCAGCTCCCAACCTCTGCATTTCCATCCATCCTGTATCCATCTCAACCCTAGGGGTTATCTTGATTTGCAAAAGCAAGTTACAGTCTTCAGCATGGTGAAATAGTCCTCCTGACCATCCCTGCCCTATGCAGCATTCTGCTCAGGCATTCCAGCCTGAAGGAATGTATGGGCTGCTTTGACATTTGTTTCAAAATTCCTTTTAGGAATTTTTTTTCTTATTAGTATCATCTCATATAGATATACTTCTTTTTTTTTTTTTTTTGAAGTACTGCTTATCTTTATTTTTTTTTATTTTTTTTTCATTTTTCTTTTATTATTCATATGTGCATACAAGGCTTGGTTTATTTCTCCCCCCTGCCCCCACCCCTCCCTTACCACCCACTCCACCCCTCCCTCCCCCCCTCAATACCAGCAGAAACTATTTTGCCCTTATCTCTAATTTTGTTGTAGAGAGAGTATAAGCAATAATAGGAAGGAACAAG